ATAGAAATTAATACCCTTGAAGTAAAAGTGTGAAAAAGCAGAGCTCTGAGGTTAAATGGCACCTCCTGTCCTCTAGAAGTTGTGTGTGGGGACAGGGATTAGATTGAGCCAGCCTAGAGTGCAACAGAGTCGCACAAAGGAAAAACCCACACCCCATAATTAACACTGATCACCTTCTAGAAAGCATTCTTTAGTTCATTGCTCATGCAGAGGGTGCTCAATGCCCTGGAACCTTCCAGCCCAGGGGAAGAACAAAGATGGATCCATTGGTGGCACCAGTGGAACAGGACAGGTGGGGTACAGAGCACCACTTCTCAGGACTTGTGTCACAAGAACAACCTAAATGTGAACAATGCAAACCAGGGCTGTGTCTATGAAGGGAGCAGATGAAGTGGATTTTGTCCATTGCTCACCTTCAGCAGGTGTGTGACCTGCAGTGATGGGATTTTCAGGTGAAGAGTTGGAAGCTCTGGTGCAACAACCACTGCATCAGCTTTGGAAGGAGAAATTCCTTGTGCCACCAGAGATAGAAGTGCTGGTCTTAGTGTTGGCTGCTACAAATGAACAGTCTGTTCCAAATTCTCTTTGGAGTCCAAAGAAAAGCTTCACTTTGGCTATGCTGGGTTTTTCAGAGTGCCACAACTCAGCAAAGATGAACACCCACCCCACAGGACTGACCAACACTCGCTTCCCTCACTGCCCTGTGCTCCCACCTGTTGGGGAAGATGGAACAGGAAAGCCTTATAAATATGATTGCCTGGCAAAAGATTTTGAGAATATGGAAACTATAAGTGAGATTGGAATGAAAGCAAGCTTTGAGATCCCTCAGTTACTGAACAACTGGAAAACAATGGCATGGCCAGCTGAAGGTGATCCCCTTTTGATCAAACAACACCCTCTGCTTGCAGGCAGCTCCAAGGGTCTGAGCAGACCCTACAGCTTGGCAGAAGGGGCCCAAAGAGGAGTTTTTAGGGTTTAAAATGTAACACAGTGTGGTAATGTAATGATTCTTATAGGCTGTGTGTAAATGCTATAGGATTTGTATCTTGTACTGGATTGGTTAGTGAGAATTGGAATATTCAACACAGAAGAAGATTCATTGTATTGTAACAGGAACTTCGCTCTCTTACCCTTTAACGCTCTTTCCTTTTTTACTCCCTTACTCTCTCACCCTCTCATCCTCTCTCCCCCTCTCTTCTCTCAGCCCTGCTCTGAGCTGTGGCTGGCAGCTCCAAGCAGGCCCCTGCACCCAGGCCCTTTGCAATAAACCCCAAGTTCCAAGCCCTGGCTTCAGAGATCTCTCGTGTCCGTCTGTCCTGACTGTCCTACCCCTGATGCTCCTACACCCACCCAGCTCTGCAGTCTGCCCTGGCTGCTCCAGCACAGTTTTAGGGGCTGCCCTGGCTGTGGACAGAGCTCAGCTCTCTCCTGTCTTTTGGAAGAGGTGGTGTCTGCACAGCAGGGCTGAAGCTGCAGGCTGGGAGCCAGTGAGCCCCTGCCCTGGCCTGTGGGGCTCCATTTCATCCACTGGCATCTATTATTCCAATAACTAACAATTCTATGAAAACTTGAGGCCACAGAAGCCTGTTGGGCTGTCACAGAATAAAGCAACTAGCAGATTCCCATCTTATCTATTTGGTTTGAGAACATGACCTAGATTCCAGTACCCATGGCTACATGGAGAGGAGCATCTTCATTTCTCCTTATTGTATAATGAGTCTCAAAATCCTTGCAGTACACTGATTCTCATAACAAGAAATACCCTCCAAGTGCCTTGGTGTGCTGCAGCTCCTCTTGCATTCTGTGTGTTGTGATGTAAAGTGAAAGCAGCAGGGAAACAGGAACAGAGCTCACAGTGCTCAGGGTCAGCTTGGATCCATGGCAGAGCTGCTGGGGATGAAGGAGTCAGCTCCTGTCCATGTCTGGGATCCTGGGCAAATGGTACCATGGGCAGTTTTCTCTCAAGCCAAGAACTACTCAGGACAGGAGTTTTCTTTTGGAGTCTTCTTTGCTCTCTTTATTTTTAATATATTCTTTTTTTACTTCCTCCCTTATCCAGATTTGATATTCCATCCCATCACTCCAGCACAGAAGGATTTTAAATGCTGCTAGTTGAGAATTTCTTTTGCAGCTGGACAGAAATTTTAAAAGGGAGAGTTGCTCATGGACACCTGTGCCTTCTTTCTTTTGAGGAGCTTGACTCAGATGCTCTGAAAACAGCAGCTCTCAGGAGGTCTCAACCTGTGTAAGACTGATTGCTTTTACAGAAACACAGTTGTACAAAAAAACCTTGTTTTTTCTTGTGCTTGCTACAAGTGAAATGGAACTTGTGTAGGTGCTGTATTCACTTGGTGCAGGTTTTTCTGCCAAAATGCTGCAGTGATCTTTTCAAATTAGCAAGGAATTTCCTCTTCAAATGAATTTGCAGTATGTTGCACTCATGCAACTACTTTGATTACTGTCAGGATAATATTTACTTACTGAAAAAAATCTTTGCTTTTAAAAATCTGATTTAAAAGACACAGGTATTGAAATTCCAGCTTATAACTTTTCACTCTTTTCTGATGGTTTTGAATATGGAAGGATATTCATCTGCCCCCCATTTTGCTGACTCTGATTGATGCCTAGACCTGCTACTTCCAAGTCTTGCTGAAATGAAAATATGATTTGGTGGCCAGCTCTCAGTTGTTTCAGTAGAAGGTTTGTAGGGGGAGGCTGGGGAGGGCAGGTTTGTATCTCCTCAGTCTCTGCTCAGGTGCTCCAGGGCATCAGCTCATGCAGAAGACATGAACATTGCAGGGTCAGATTTCCAGAAGTCTGGAAATCAAAGGATTTGATCCATCCAGAGGATGCTTGAAACCAGGTAGCTGCTTTCTCCTCCAGGTCAGTTCTGATGTCAGGAGATGTCACAGATCTCCAGAGCAAGCTGTGTAAAGTAAAGGCAGGACAAGCCCAACAATGGGGAGAGAATGATGTGTGTGACTCCATGGACGTCAGAAGGCTAATTAATTACTTCATTATTCTATATGATTCTATACTAATGACATAGTATAATAAAGTACTAAATTTCCCATTTACATCTAAACTAGTTTACATCTGAACTGAATCTGCACAAGCACCCAACTCTGCACACACTGCACAGCATCTCGTGGCCCTCAGCTGACAGTCCCAACACACACCTGGATCCAACTGCTCAGTGAATCAAAACACTCACACAGAATCCAGTCATCAATTCAGGTGAACACTCTTCCACCATGCATTCCACTTGTGAACAACACTGGAGCAGCAAATGAGATAAGAATTGTTTTTTTCTTTCTTTGAGGTTCAGAGAATGTGAAACCCAGAAATATCCTTGGGAAATTGTGCCTTGCTTTTCTCTGTGAAGAGGAGCAGCAATTGAGATAAGAATTGTTTTTTTTCTTTCTCTGAGGTTCAGAGAATACGAATCCCAGAAATATCCTTGGGAAATTGTGCCTTGCTTTTCTCTGTGAAGAGAACTGTGGCCACAGTTGTGCTTGTTCCCCATCTGCTGTGCATGGCCAGGGCTCAGGAACACCAAACTCAGATCAGCCTGGGTTTGGGCAGCTCTGAGCCTGCAGCAACCACTGAGCCCTGGCCAGGCTGGTGCTGGCACTGCTGGGCAGCTCTCAGGACGTTTCCAGTCAGAGCAGCAGGAGAAAGAGCGAAATAAAATAAATGGAGGAAAGCCACAGAACTTTAGGCAAACACGACAGATACAGGACGGCTTTTAGGGATCAAAATTTAATATAATCGTCATTACAAGGTCAAGTAGGTCAGGGTGATAATTGGTTCCACAGTGGAATTAACCTAAAACTCCTTCTCAAATCAACACAACAGCTGGGCTGGGCTGGATCCAGACAATCAGCCAGGGCAGCACCACTGGCCCAGGAGCCTGGGTCTAGCAGTAGAACACCACATACAGAGCTGTGCAGCCACAGGAAAGCTGTGATCCACAAATGCAGAGGGACTCTTATGGTCACCATTCCTTGTTTAAAGTGGCATCGTGGCTCTGTGGCACACCTGGGGATGGAAATGCCGTGTTCTGTGTGCATGCACAGCAAGGCAGAGCCCAAACCAGGGAGAACAGCCTGGGATCAGCAGGGGAGAGGGAGGGGATCAAGTCAGCAGCAGATCTCGTGTCATTAACACACAATTCTTGCATTTCCCCTTCACATTCATGTCCTTAACAGTGAGACAAAAGCTGCCTTGCCAGCAGCTCCACGGACTTCATTGACTCCATCCCAGCCCTGGAAATCCCTCTCCCCGTGAAGAGGGAGCTGGGCACATGCAGTGCCCTGTGTGCTTTCACCACCCAGGACCCAGTGTGTTCTCACCACTTCTTAAATCTGGGGTTATTGCTCTCACTACAAAGAACCCAGCTCCTGGCATTCTCCAGTAATGCAGGGAGGAACAATTTCTGTCAGTCTGCATGGCCTCAGGGCAGCCAGAGAGAAAAGGAGGAAGGAGGTCACAGACAAACCAGCGTCCATTAAACACAAACTCTTGTTTGACCAGAAAAAAAACAAAAAAAAACCCCAAGCCAACTCTAGTTTGGAACTCCATGGAATAAATGTAATGTAGAAAGGTGTGAAAGGAACCTCAGTGTCCCTCTTACCCTGTTTTGGAGTCAGAGTTTGTGTTCAGATGGAGTAGCAGGGAATTGCTTTCAGGTCTCCAGGTTTAGGTGAATCTAAGTTTCAACATTCACTTTTTTAATTCCTCCAAATCATGGTCCTAAATCACACCTGATCCCTGGAAGGCTACAGATGAAATAATTTCCAGGAGCTGCTCCTGGATAGGGGCTATATAATGGCTTTTGGATAGTGAACAGGTTTTGTTCCATTTTCCCCTGAATATTGTGCAATTTCGTAAACTTGGAATTAACCCTAAAACTTTTCTTCAGCCATTCAACCTCTGACCCAGAACAGAAGAATTCATCCATATTCTGCTGATTTGTTTCCCTCTCCTCTTCCTTGCAGGTCTCCATGAAATCCAGTGCTCCCTGCCCGTGGAGAACAGGAGGATCTTCCTGAATGAGTTATCTGAGGTCAGCTTCAGCGAATGCAAATTCAGTTTGTCATTGACAGACCTGTTCATCATCATCTTCTCTGGAGTGGCTGTGTCCATTGCTGCCATTCTCTCCAGCTTCTTCCTGGCCACCCTGGTGCACTGCTTCCAAAGGTGTGCTCCCAGCAAGGATGATGATGAAGATGAAGATGACTCTGAGGACTGAACTCAGTCAAAATCCTTAATTTCCCTTGGGTTATCAGTTACCAGATCATCAGCCAAAGTCTATGAGGGGGAAAAAAAAAGTAGAGTGAAAGCTTTAAACATGACTTAAACTCCCAATGTGTCAGGATCTCTTCTGCTGGTCACAGGCAGGAAGGGCAGCCCTGGGACTGTCACCTTGTCACCTCCTCTTGCACAGTGCCCTGCTGCAGTCAGACCAGGCTGATTTCCATGGCCCTTAACCAAACACTGCATTTAAGCTTGAAGATTGAAGGGAAAAGGGGGGAAAAGCCAAAAAAAAAAAAAAAAAAAGTTAAAAAGTTCCAGTGTTTTAAAAGATGAGTTTCATGAGTTTCCAGGTTGTCCTGATGAAATGCAGATTTTCATAAGTGCTTGAAGCTTGTTCTAATACACCTTGAAAATGACTGGATGAATGGACCTTGTTCAGGTTGAAAATACAGAAGCAATTCAAAATAGTATCCTTCCTAGATCTAAGTACTGGGAGAGATTCTACTGAAACTCACACAAAATGCAATTTAAATGATTCCTAGAATTGTAGATAGCATGAGAGGAAGGTTGGCATTTTCCCCCTACAAAAGTTCTCCAGAAACATTTATCCTCCATTTAATGACAGCAATTGCAGGCACCATTCAGCAAAAAAAAAAAAAAAAAAATTTTCTGTAAGTGAATATGATTCTGGATCTGAGTCATCCACTGCAGATGCCTGGCACTTCTTTGATCATGGCACAAATCCTAAATTTAACATCCTTTTGCATTTTTAGATGCAGTGAAGTAAAGGATTTCCCTCCCCAGTAGCTGTTGCAGCATCCAGTCCATTTAGCTATTTTAAAGCACTAAGGGCTATATTCTGCTCCTGGTTATACTGGAATAACCCAAATGAGATGAACACCATGATCCAAATTGGCAACTGTATAAACAAAAGTGAAATCTGGCCCAACACATTTCTGACTGTATTATAGATTTGTCGAAACTTGAGCTCTTCTATATGATGGTAGATATTTTTGTTAAAATTTAAAAAGACATTTATTACAAGAGATTTTTGGAATAGTGCTGGACAGCTTTTTAGGATAAGTATATTTTTAAAATATTTGAAATGGAAATATTTTTTTAAAGCTCTGTGTATTTAAATTGTTATCTAGAGTAGCTGTGAGGGCTTAAAGTAATGAACAACATAGTGATAAGCAAGCTAAGGACTGTATGCTATTATAAAGTAATTAGAGCTGATAAAAAGTAGCATTTGTTTAACTACTGTAAACGCTATTATTTCTTTTGAAAAGCACTCTTTGTTCAAAATACTGCCTTGCTCAGTAGGAGGGAGTCACCCTGCATGGGGTGCCAGGGTCCATCAGCACTCCTGGGGATCCCCCCAGCAGGGATCAGCTGGAAAACCTTCAGAGAACCACAGTCTGTCTGTCTGTCTGTCTGTCTGTCTGTCTGTCCGTGCCTCAGCTCCAGGACCCACAGCCTGACCAGCACAGAAACGCTGATCCCTCTGAGGAGATTTGGGGCTGCAGGGGGAGAGCTGTGCCCTGGGGCTGTGCTGGGATCGGCCCTGTCCGTCTGTCCCGGGATCAGCCCTGTCCGTCTGTCCTGGGGGCTGTGCTGGGATCAGTCCTGTCCGTCTGTCCTGGGGGCTGTCCCTGGGACTGGCCCTGTCTGTCTGTCCTGGGAGCTGTCCCAGGGATCAGTCCTGTCCATCTGTCCTGGGATCTGCCCTGTCCATCTGTCCTGGGGATCAGCCATGTCCATTTTTCCTGGGAATCAGCCCTGTCTGGCTCTCCTGGGAATCTGGCCTGTCCGTCTGTCCTGGGGATCAGCTGTGTCCATTTGTCCTGGAGATCATCCCTGTCCAGCTGTCCTGGGAATCAGCCCTGTCTGTCTGTCCTGGGGCTGTCCCTGGGATCAGCCCTGTCCGTCTGTCCTGGGATCAGCCCCGTCCGTCTGTCCTGGGGGCTGTCCCTGGGATCAGCCCTGTCCGTCTGTCCTGGGATCAGCCCCGTCCGTCTGTCCTGGGAGCTGTCCCTGGGATCAGCCCTGTCTGTCTGTCCCTGGGATCTGCCCTGTCCGTTTGTCCTGGGGATTGGCCCTGTCTGTCTGTCCCTGGGATCAGCCCCGTCCATCTGTCCTGGGGGCTGTCCCTGGGATCAGCCCTGTCTGTCTGTCCTGGGATCAGCCCTGTCCGTCTGTCCCTGGGATCAGCCCTGTCTGTCTGTCCTGGGATCAGCCCTGTCTGTCTGTCCTGGGATCAGCCCTGTCCGTCTGTCCCGGGGCAGTGGGGCTGCCCTGGAGCTCTGCAGTTCCTCCCTTGGCTGCCAGGGCTGCTCTGGGTGTGCAGCACGCTGGGGTCACAGCCAGGAGTGAGTTTCAGTTTATCCAATGCACTCTTCTTCCATTGGTTTATGGGATTATTGCTTCTGAAAAACACCAAGACAGAATTAAGCAGGACAGTGAGAGGCTATTCTGTATCAATACTGTCTTATTCTAATACAATTCCTTCAAGAAAAATGAAATTACATGATTTTCACTGTGTAGTGCCATGATTATTAACAACACAAATATATTTATAATTTCAACCTGGGTTCTGATGTTCATTTGTACGTGGGAATGAAAAAGGACAAAATGGAATGGAAGAGGACAAAAGGGAATGAAAAAGGACAAAAGGGAATGAAAAAGGACAAAAACTGTGCCTGATTCACCTTTTCTCAGGCAGGTTTTGAGGGGTGGTGGAACACAAGTTGCCCAGTGCAGCTCCTCAGCCTTTCCCACAAACACAGATCTGTTACCAACAGTTTTATATTTAGAGCTGTGCAAATTGTTCAGTCATGGAATAGGAAACTGGGTCACACTTTTTATGGACTCAAAACTCACAACCCCTCAGCAAAATGATTCGTCCTACCAAACTTGCCAGGGAGTCCCCAGTGGACGTTTCAGCAAACATCTGCCCTTGGTCATGAATTCCTGGCTTTGTGTCATCAGTAATTTACAGAAGTCATGGATCAAACTCAGCTATTTTGGCCGGGCTCTGCTCTCACTTGCAGGTTCACCTCACCCTGCTGTGGTGCCTCAGAAGGAAATGTAAATTTGTTTGTAGTTTGCAGCTTTTTGTTGAACCCAACACAAAGCTCTGCAAGCTCTGGTTCTGTTTGGGATGTGGCACCCTCAGAGCAGTGAGGAGCACACCAAGCTGACACCCACACAACACAGCACAAGCTGTGGAGCAAGGCTTGGCAAAGCTTTATTTGGGAAGCTGCTATTCTGGATACTCCATCACACCAGAGGGATTTTGCAATGTAGGGTTTTTTCTGGATGAGAAACTTTAATGGTATTTTTAAATTCTGGTTTTCTCTATAAGTAATGTACATTTCAGAGCTATTGAACACCTCCAGTTAGTAATATTGATTCATTGTAAGCACTAGCAGTTGCCAACTATCAATATTGATTTTGCATAATTCTAATTGCTTGTGAGACAGAACATGGATTTAGTTCTAACTGGGATTTTTCTAATTTTACAGAATTTTGAGAGCAAAACATTCTCCTGTTGGAATATTGCCAGAACTAGTGATCACCATAATGATGAGTCCCCTGCAAAACCTTGAAAGGCAGTTTCATCATCAACAGAGAGTGCTCTGAGGGCTGAAGTGCACTTGCAGTTTTAGCTCCACAAAGGTGTCACACAGAGTTAATCCCTCTTGTATTTGCAGGGTGAAGGAAGGAATGATGGATCTGACTCCACGTTCTCAGAAGGTTAATTTATTACTTTATGATATTATATTATATTAAAGAATACTATACTATACTAACTAAAGAATACAGAGAGGATACTTACAGAAGGCTAAAAAGATAATAATGAAAACTGGTGACTCTTCCCAGAGTCCCAACACAGCTTGACCCTGATTGGCCAAAGAGTGCAAACAACTCCCAGCAGAACCCAATGAAACAATCACCTGTGGGTGAACAATCTCCAAACACATTCCACATGTGAGCACAACACAGGAGAAGCAAATGGGATAAGAATTGTTTCCCTTTTTTCTGAAGCTTCTCAGTTTCCCAGGAGAGGAATCCTGGGTGAAGGGATTTTTTCAGATAATGTGAATGCCACAAATCCCCTCTCCAGGTTTTGGGGCACGGGGAGGGCTCCTGTGCAGGGAGATTTCTGTGGCTGGGATGTGGTGAGGCTGCGCTCCCTGCTCAGGCTGCAGTGACCCACATTAGATCAGAGGAGCTACAGAGGTGCCAAGTGAGAGCTGAATTTAGCTCCCCTTCACTCCAGCAGCCCTGCCTGTAGGTGATTAGAAATGTACCGTGCAAAGCTCTTCATTTACAATTTCCCTTCTAAAATAGCTTCACTGCTTTCCCGGTGCTCTCTCTCGCTGTCAGAAGCAAGCAGACATTTCACCTGCTTCAAGGGGAAGCAGAGCTCCTCTGCATGACCCAAATAAAGCCTTGCAGGCTCCAGGAGCCAGGAAGCAGCTGCCACATGGCCTGCAGACATGTCCCCTTGATGAAAGGCTCGAGCTTGGTATGTGTGAGCATCCAAAACCTGGGCAAAAAAGCAAATCTGCATGATGTCATTGAGACAGTCTGACTTTTAGGAGTGTGCACACGGGTTTTAAAAAGCCCTAATCCACAAATGTTCTTTAAATTTTATTTAAAAAAATTTTTTACTTTACTATTATTAATTACTATTTAATTATTTTTAAATTTTAATTATTATTTCTATTACTCTTTTATAATTTATATTTTTCTTATTTCATTTTCTATTATTATTTAATTATATTTATATTTTATATTATTATTAAATAGAATACATAATTTGATATATTTGATAATATTTATGTTATAATATTTTATTATATTATTATATTGTTTATATTTTTATTATTATATTTTATTATATTATAGTTATTATTTTACTCTTTTATTTAATTATTATTATTTAATTATTAGTTTTATTTTAATTATTAGTTTTATTTAATTTTATTTTTTTAAATTAAAATAAAGATCACCTAAGCAATGTCCAAACCCAGCATTTCATCCCCAGTGAGCCACCATCTTTCTGAGGCAGCTCCTCTCAGATATGAACATGAATGGGTCAGGTTTTACAGCAGCATAAAAATGCA